CAGTCATGAAAGTTATACCTATACCAATAACAAATTACATAAATCCATCATGAATAACGTAAGCCTCTCACAAAAGAATTTTCCTTTTGAGTAGCGATTGCAACAGAACAGACTATAGATCTTCTGATTCTCCAGTATATTGAAATTGGGTGGGGATAGGAATTCCATCCGGGACAGTGGCCGCATCCGTCCTCTTCTGAGGATCAATACCGCTTGCACAACATTTTCTATTTGCTTTTACGTACTTTTTACGAAAGTAAACGTTGATAATATTGGTGTTCAAAGTTGTAGCATTTGAGTCGACATATAGATACCGGTTATAGAAACTGTAGAGAAAAGAGAACATTTAAAGACATTATAAATAAGTTAGTAATATATACAGATAGATAGATAGTATTACACTTTTTTATTCGACGTTGAAATATGTATATTCTTGAAATGCTTGTTTGCAGCCAAATAGTCTAAATAAAAATCAATAAATAATTAACTATTTATTATGTACGTTTCGACACTGTGTGTGTCATCATGCAAGTTCTAAACAATATTTTACAAAGTTTATAATATTACAAGATTACTAGAAGATATAACAAATATAAAAAATATCAACTCATACCAAACCATGAAAAAACATAAAAATTTAATGACATTGTTGAATGGAAAAAAACAAAGCAATAAAATAAAACTACAAACTAAAAGTTAAACGTTAAAATTATGTAGTTAATACATAGACATTACACTACATGGACTGCTAGTTCTCATATGTTTACCGCTGTATATAGTGCTCAAACATAGAAGGGTATGTGACGTCACATGTCTGAACGAATATTGCCGACGACAATCGCGGACTCTCCCGATTATTAATAACACTTCTTATTATTAATACCATTAATAACAAGTCATATTATTAATATCATTTCTTATAAAATATTAGCCATAATAATTGCCATTATATTATTGTAATAAAAGTATCACAAATAATATTTAAATTAAATTAACTATTATGATAATATTATTGAATATTATTAATAACATTTTTTAGGAATTGCCATTATATTATTAAAATAAAACATATGACATATGACATTTAATCAATAGGAGAGTCCGCGATTGTCGTCGGCAATATTCGCAGACATGTGACGTCCATAGACTTTATATTACAGGGACTCGGGCTGCCATACATTTCTCAGGTAAAAAATGTCAGAAGATGTTCTCTGTTAGGAGGGTAAATGTGCCGTCGAGAAATGTCAAGATAGATTAAATAAATGAATACGAACACGAGCGTTGCCGAGAACAGTCGAATGCTCTCGCAACAGAGAACACCTTTTTACATTTTGTATGCGTTCGACTAGCAGTCCATGTAATATAAGGTCTATGACTAATTCACATGATCAACAAATTGTAAATGGAAAACGAAATGCAAGGTCATGCCTTATAGAAACAACGGGGTTCACAAACGCTGATCCAGGGACGAATGCTTTGGAATACTAGCTGGTTGTGGTGATTCAAGGGTGGGAAAAAGACAAACAAAAATATAACAAAGTACATATTAAAAAATTAAAATTAAAAACGAAAAATATAAAAATGTAAAAAGTAATACGAGAATTGTTAACGTGCTGAATGATGCACATACACAGGGTGGAAAGCTACATACTAAATAGTTAATTATTTATTGCTTTTTGCGTTGACTATTTGTCTGCAAATAAGTATTTCAAGAATATATATGTATGTATTTGTATACACTATTTGGCTTTAATAATAACATATATCTCTAACGGCGAAATTAGTTCAAATAAATAATATTTTATTTTAAAAAATATAATTATTAAGGTTATTTAAAAGAATATAATTATTTATATGTGCTAACATTAGATATGTTTCATTCAGCTAAAATAAAATGTTATAAAACATTGTATAAATACAAATAAATTATTATTATTATTGAGAATCATATTAGGATAGGAATATTGATCGTCGTTTATTTTCAATAAATATAACATATGACTACTAACACATGTTTAATAATAATCTTTCAAATCTCTAAAAATAATTTTCTATACTACACCAAGTTTTTCTGACAACGACTCATCGCCATAATTCATTGTCGTCGATATAGTTATATTTTACTTATGTTTCTGAAACAGTTTGTGCAACTTCTGTGTCGTTATATTGTGCAAATAGCATAAAATATTTTAGAATTGTATGGGTGAAACTGTATGTGTTATATGATTGAAAAAGGAAAAGTCTGCATTATAGTCAGCTCGCATAAGAACGAGAAAGGAGAATTTACTACAGACGACGTTGAAACTACAGACTTTAGGCCTGTATATGTTAAATTTTTGTATATAATAAGTTAACAGTTTCAAGTAGAACAAATAAAACTGTTATATTTCTACTGCATCATTCACTATTTTATGATCTCGTTTATTAATGCTGTTATGATTGCTCATGAATTTGATGTTATATACTAATGGTTATAATTTTGGTAATTAGCTTCACGTGTGAAAAGGTAAATACACGATCTCGTGATCCTTATGGCAGTCCTTAGATAAATTGGATGTATGTGTGTTTATATACAATTGTTGATCTATACTTTATAGAAACGGATCTGCTAATTAGAACCAATTAGAATTAACAGACATTTTATTGCATTTGCGGTTTATAGATAGGTGATAGGTTTATAGATTTTTATAGGTTTTTATTTGGAAATATAGCAATATGTGAAAATAGCCCTTATCCGGCATTACTGCATCAATAAAAATTTATCAATATTACAGAAATTGTAATAATAAAATTGTTCACATAGAGATATTGTTTGGGTTGCCATCTATAAAAACCGACCAAATTAGTAGTAAATAATTAAAACAGCTCGAAATAGTTACCGATTAAAGGGCTGTTTTCTAGACTGAATAGCATGCTTGATTTTTTTTTAGATTTCATGATAGTTTTTCAAACCGTTCAAATCACGATGCGAGAAAGCTTGCTTGCTCTGAGCGAGATATGTTATAGCTTGCTAGATTTTTAAATGTGATAAACCACATGTCAATACTGCTTCCCTATTTGTTCGAACAAATGAATCCATCCACAAAAATTATTTCGTTGACTTTTTGGTCTGCTGTCTAGCATGCTGGTTAGGACTGTGCGCTATTTTTGTAAATGGATTTATTCGTTCGACCCATGTGATTTATAATATTTGATAATCTAGCACGCTAAAACAAATGACACTCAAAAATCTAGCAAGCCAAAACAAATCACACTCAAAAATCAAGCAAGCTAAAACAAATCACAGTTAAAAATCAAACATGCTGTGTGGCCAGCTCAGAAAACAAATGTGTGATTTTTTTATAGGTCTATGATCTGATCTTAAGTTCTGATCGTTGTTCAATAATAATAATAAACTAGTGCCTTAAGGCAAATTGCTGGAACTTTCCGTAACGTAACGAAATGTTCGAGGAATATCAAATAGATATTATAAATACTGTACATTGTGTAATATTTATAAGAATTATATAAACCGAATTACAAAGTCAAAAATATTTATTTAAAGTATATAAGGGAGTTTCAAAACTTTAGCCAGAATTAATATTGAAATCTGAATTATTTTCGATATACAAAAAAAATGAAAAAAAAAAATTGAAATGAATTTTTTTGTCCAAAAGCAATTGTTTTGTCAACACAAGCAGATTTTTTTTTGAATCATTCAATTCGGATGCTTATTTCTCTCAAAAACTGCATTTTTTTATACATTTAGCTCTGTATCTTCGAAATGGCTGGGCCTTCCTTTGCCAAAAACTAATAACCACTTCTCCCAATCATTACTAATCGAATGTTTTTTAGATCATTCAAATCGGATGCTCCGTTCTCTCCAAAACTCGATTTCTATTTTCTGCACACTTTGCTTTTTATCTCCGTAACGGCTGGACCTGCCTTTGCCGACAACTAAACAACATATTTCCCTATCAATAGGAATCCAATGTTTTTTGAACCATTCAAATTGGTTGATCCGTGCGCCCGAAAACGCGAACGAAAAAATGCGGACACACAAAACACACACACATGCATCCATTTTTTTCTGAGGAATGCCAAAATGTTCAGAAACCTTCAAAACGTGGGGAAATGCAAAAATTTTCATTTTCGATTTTCGGCCCATTACAATAACTACCCTACATGAAGTTAAAAATGATTATTAGACATATGCACCATCAGATTAATTTGATAATAATCAGATAAATTTGGAATTTCAGATAATGTTTTATATAACACATGTTGAGAAATCGAAAAATTTACAGCAACTTGTCTTAAGGTAGAATTTAATATACCTCTTGTTCAATTGCATTCATAAGACCTTTAGGATTAAAATCCCTAACCCAATTTGGAATATATGTGTGTACATAATTCCTACTCGTCAGAGCGCTTTCTTTCATGCGGCAGGTATTAATACTTGGATTAAACCATTTCCAGATTGAGGGGAAGCTCGTTCGTTGTGCAACCAAATGTAAACTAGAATATACACATCATGTCAATTTCAACGTTCGCATATCGTTTATCTCGTTTGTGTACAGTTACAACTGCTGATAATGGTGCTAACGCAAACGTTATTTTTATTATAAATGGTTTTGAATATTAATAGCTGATTAATGATTGTTATTACTATTAAATTAATAATATCACCTTGGAGTGAGCTTGTCCTAATTATATTTGATGCATCTGAGCGGGACAGAGCTATGTCTTTGTTCATCGTTCAACTCATATGGTGGGGAGCCAGCTCATGTGTACTGTGCTCAGGCGCAACGCAGTTCTCACTTTTCTGCCTCCCGTAATGATTGTGATGAGAGGGACGGAAGATGTGTTACTCGTACAATGTTCGAACTCTGCTTGGTAATGCGGTTGTTGAGTATAATCCGGCTTTCCATTGGTTCCCGCGAACCTTTTTCTCCCCACCATTCTATAGAACAGTGTTGTAACTGTTCTCCAACAAACTGATGTGAACTTGGCTTCAAACATTCATGCCAGATGTGAGCTCTATGTAGATATTCTGTGTATGTTTATCTTTATAGTGATTTTCATGATTTGTTTTTACGGTTGAAGTTATTTAACTTGAATATAAATTTTTTTTTAACTACCTACGTGATACGATAATTAAATTCATGTGACTAAATGTTTGTTTTCAAATAAATAATTCAGACATTTTAAAGTGTGAACCGGCGTCACGTCCAAACATAAATGATGAGTGCGTATATTAACGTAAGTGTATTGGTTTATCGTTGATTGTGTCACGCTTGTTGTAGTGAATTTACAGTTTGTTTTTATGTAATTTTTGACAAAACAAGGTTCGAATGTTGATCATCTTAGGGCAGTGGTTTTCAACCTTTTCGGAGCGCCTCCCATTTTTACAAAAAAATTGTTGTGCTCCTCTTAATTTGCCAACAATCTATTTTCATATATACTCAACTGATATTATAATTTAATTACTACAAATTAATATACGATATTATGTGAAAATATACCCGAAAAATAATTAAATAATTATTTTGATTTTATATCTTTCAACATTTTTTGTTTATTTTGGTAAATAGTATTTTGGAAACAGCTATACACCCCCCCGAGGGTCGCGCCTCACAGATTGGAAGCCACTGTCTTAGGGGTTTATGACATTTCCGAACGAGATGATTACGGAAATTGTTAATTGCTGTTATGCAATATCAACATGTATTTTTGTTTTTGTGACTTTTAGTTTTATTAATTTAGTGCATTTTATACATATTAGTTTTATTTATTTTCCTTTATATATAGTTATTTTTATATATAATTTCATAGTGGATTTACCGATAAATTCTAATTTTGTCTAGACTCGCAATGACAACGGACATCACCACTGATGGTCAGTTTCCGGATCAACCAGATTCATTACATCCGTTAGGTATGTCATTGTTTTCATTCATTTGCTTCCATCTATTGTCTCACTCTATGTGTTGTTGAAGATTAAATTGCAACCCTTGGTTTCGAAATTAAAAACGACGAAAAGAATTTGTTTTGATGTCAATGAGCGTCACGTCTGGAGTTACGCAATTTAGTGTTGGGGTTGGTGTTTAAGAGTTGCTTATGTTATACCTATACCTAAACTTTTTGATTTTGAAGACAAATTTGTCATAATAAACATATTAATTTATAATTTGTTATATTTTTTAAGAATATATACATCAAGAATTTATTTATTATTGTTTTGAATCGCCTACGCCAAACGAATGTAAACACAAGAGTCCAACTGCTATTTATGGTTTGATGCAGTGGATATTAAGGGGTTCAATTGTAATTAATTGCTAGTACCTTCTTTTTGGTTTCATGGTTTAATAAACTTTAATATTATTTTTCGGTTCTATTTTGCTATAATTACGATACTACGTGCATCTAATTTTTCCTTGTCTTTTTTCTTTTTTAGTATATGATTTAGTTTTGTTTATATTGTAATTGAATATTGTTATTCACTTACCACCTATAATTAAAATCTTTCTGATACTTTTTCAGATAATTGTTTGTCTGCAGAGATTGAGTCTAATAGCGGCATTAGTTCAGGACCAGTATCTCCTAATGAACTGAATGAATCTTCAGGAATATCTGAAATAAAATTAACCGAGGGAAAAAAATTGAACAATAAAAAGAAGCGAAAATTGATATCGCTTGAGTGCTTAGAATGCGGACAGACCTTTAAACAGCAGCGCACATTCAAAAAGCATTTATTGCGCCACGTGAAACAACCTCTTGTAGCCACGCAGCGCTGCGATCAATCTCAATTGTATAGCGAAGCGCTGCGCCGCAGCACTCGATTGTCCACTAAGCCGATGCCTGCAGCAGCAGGTAAGATTCGTCTAATAATAAGACATATTTGTAAACGTACTCTTTACAATTATTATTCAATGATTGCACATTTTTGTTACAGGCAACGGTTTAAAGTTGAAAATCAAGCTGGACGGTTCGGGTGACGGAAATAATTTTGAAGTTGTGCAATACGAAGAATCAGGTACGGGGCAACTTGCCGACGAATTGAGTAATCACAGCAGCACGGCAACAAATAGCGTAGCCGGAGAGAACACGCGGGACCACAATCTAGAACAGGTGATCATTTTTAATAGTTTTAGGAAATTATTCTCAACTATTTTGAATCATGGTGCAATCCTTGGATTAGTCAAATATATAAAGCAAGGACGAACAACCTGCGGCCTGCGGCTCGCTAAGCATTTTTCAACAACAGATTATTAACTTCCCGTAGGGCAAGTTATAGTAATCGCAAAAAAATCGAAAATGAAAATTTTTATAGATCTTAACGTTTTAAAGGTTTCTGAACATTTTGGCATACCTTAGAAAAAATGGATGTATGTGTGTGTGTATGTATGTGCGGATACAAATTTTCGTCGACGATTTCGGGAACACGGATCAACCGATTTGAATAATTCAAAAAACATTCGATTCGTATTGATAAGGAGACGTGCTGATTAGTTTTTGGCGAAGGCAGGTCTAGCCGTTCCGAAGATACGGGGCAAAAAGTGCCGAAAACGGTAACTCAGTTTTTAAGAGAACGGAGTGTCCGATTTGAATAATTAAAAAAACGTTTCACTTGTATTGACAAGATGAAGAATTGATCAAATTTTCATGAAGGCAGGTCTAGCGGTTTCGGAGATATGGAGGAAAAAGTAAAAAAATGAGCCATTTGGCGGCCAAAAATGAACATTAGACATATGCACATCAAATTATCAGATATTTTATAGAGATTTTAACAATGAGTATAATTTTTTTTTACATTTCTATGGGTTCCGTACCAATGCTTATGCGTTAGACGGCGGCGCGGCACTTGCGCGCTTTGACATTTCGTCTCTATGCAGTTCAAGCAATACGATTGCTTTGAAAAAAATTTTAGAATTTCCAAAATATGTCAAAATGAAAAAAACATTTTTTTTTTCAAAAAAATTTTGTTTTCAAAAAAAAAATTTTTTTTTCAAAAAGTAATTTTTTGTCAAATTTATAGTTTCTCAAAAATCTCAAAAAAGTAATTTTTTTTCAAAAATGTTAATCGTTTTTAAAAAAATAATTTTTGGTACGGGAAATTCCAGCAATTTGCATTAAGGCACGATGCCTTAAATGCCTTAAGACAGAGTTCCACTTACAGCTAGTTTTTCTAGATATCTTATCAAATACAAAGGTAAAGGTTAATTTTGTTGTCAGTCAAATACTGGTAAAAACTGTTGTTCGCAGAAATAGCATGTCCTTACCAAATTTAAACTAATTATAAGTAAATCCTATGAAGTTGCGAGGGTTAATTTACCGTAAATTTAAAGAATTCCTGAATAATTTAGAGTGTGAATATGCCGATGCGATTTTTAATACCAAAATACGTTAGCTCAATAGAAGTGTAATGCTTAAAGATGTGTGAATAAATAATAAATTGCGAAATATAATTGTTCTTGGATATAAAGGAATATACCTTTCCTCATTTTGGTATTAAAGAATGGGCGTGCAATTTTGTATTTCTTATCGACATCACTCAGCATCTCATTGATCTCGATGTGGAACTTTAAGGCGAAGAACATTTTATTAACAATTTGTGTGATAAAAATCAATGCTTTGAGTGCAAAATAAAATTGTGGAAAAAATATCTATTGCAGAATCTTGTTTCACTTTTCATATTTAGAAAAGAAAAGTGAACAAATTGTGATTCCAAATGTTCAAAGCTAAGAAGGAAGCTGTTTTCATGTAAATGTTGAAAATGGAATTTTTTCAGAGTCATTGAAATAGTCTAAAAATAAAATTTTAAAATTTAAATTGGCCCGTGGGTTGCATTTGCACTTGATATAAAAAAGCTATATTCTATCATTGCTAAATTATATCGTGTATTGTTTAAAAAAACATAATAAAACATATTTCTACATCCATCTTCAATTAATTTAAATTAATTTTTTAGGGAAATGATGAATCATCAAGAGATGCACAATCAGACACGTCGGTGACAAATACCAACAATAGTGCACAAGTAGCACTAACTAGTATAGCAAATGCAATAACAGGACAAGAAGAGGGAAATAGTTCAAGCAATATTTCCCAAAATGAAGAAGTTGAAGAGAGCCTAGCAAGTATTTTGTCAAAATCTATACAAGACGATGAGAATTCATCAGCGCCAGCTATCGATCCTTTTCATGGCATACTCGAAGAGCAGGAAGAACAAGAACGCGCTATCAATGCAGGTAAAGAAAACAAATATAAATAATATAATTACAAAAAATTAATAATGTACAAAGGTATATTCCTGTTGAAAAAAAAGTGTGCTACCTATTATTTTATTTACATTAGATGTTATGGTGATGCTTATTGTGGTTAATAACCATAAGATGTAAGCACTTAAAAAATAATATTTTAGGTTGTGATTTTAATCCACTAAAAATGCATCATTTCACAAATTTTTATTTGTTAATGACTTTTTATTTATTTATAAAACTTGGCAACCACAAAAAATTTTACTAATCAATTTGAAATATTTATTTATTCTGGTTTTGTATTGATTTTATTATTAACTTCCTGAAGGGCAAGTAATAGTAATCGCAAAAAAATCGAAAATGAAAATTTTTATATATCTTTACGTTTCAGAGGTTTCTTGGCATGCCTTAGAAAAAATGGATGTATGTGTTTGTGCGGATACAAATTTTTGTCGACGATTTCGGGACGTTAAAAAAATTCAAAATTTACAAAATATTTCAAACTAAAAAAAAACATTTTAAAAAGTAATTTTTTTCAAAAATTTAAAATTCTTTCAAAGTTTAAAACATATTTAATCTTTTTTTTTAAATTTAATTTTTGGTACGGGAAGTTCCAGCCTTAAGGCACAATACACCTTTAGTTTGTATATACATATATTTATATTGATTTTTTATATTGTATGACAGGTGGTCTTCGTGTGCTAACATTGACTCCGCAGACATCAGCGTCTCAATCTTCAACACCTTCATCTCCTCAATCAACATTTATTAAGGAAAATACTAGTCCAGCTTATTTTCCTACCCAGGCACCAGGTTTGCCCTGTCGACTGGGAGAGAACGTCATGGTGGAACTGAATACAACAATGTTAACACCCAGGAGCATGGACTCACCATCAGGAGGAACCAGTACTCCTCCAACATCGAGTACAGATCATGGAAAATTGTTGCATCAAATGCTTAGCGATAGTAAGTGATTCTTATCAGATCACATTTTTATTTTTTTATTTTTTTCTATGAATTTATCTTAAGTTTGAGTTTTAGATGTATTTAAAAAAAAACATTGATTAAATCCAGAAATGTATTACAATATCATTACCATTTGAAAGTATATTTTTTTGAGTTAAAAATATTTATGAAACTGAATTTAAATGTTTAAGGTAATATCATTATCAAACTATAATGTGTTATTGTTTTGTTTAGATAATAATCAGAATGCTAATGGATCATCGCAGAGTGAATACATACCTTTAGATAAACTGCCTATTCAACACATCTGTGCAACATGCAATCTAGGTTTCTCTAATATGCCAGCATTTGAAGAGCATTGCCGGACACAAGGACACGTTTTTCCTGTTTCTACTGCTTCTTGCAGCAATATTGGAAATACTGCTCCAGCCTACACACAACTCCAAACTCCTGCTCAACAACAACAGGTAAACATTATTTCAAATTGATATCTCCTATATCTTGATCTTAAGAAAAATATTTTATTGCTTTTATTGAAAATTTATATTTAATATTTTTTGTTGTTAGTATGATGGTTACCGTTTTCACTTTTTTATTTATAGCAACAACAATCTCTATTCCAACCACAATACACAACTCTGCAACCTTCTCAATATACTTCTGCACCTCCGCCGTATAATGGATCTATATCTTCGCAACAGCAATTTGGAACAATGGCTGGGCATCAGATGCCATACGGACAACCAGCTGTTCCTATGGAACAACTTGCGCAGCAAGTTAGAAATATGCCAGTACCGCCTCATAGCCAGCAGCCGCATAATAACATGGGCATTAGGTAAAACTTAGAAAAAAATCACATTTAATTTTATAAGATCAAGGTTTAGCTCTTTTAACATCTCGAAAGATAAATTTGTTCTCACCATAAAATCCGACTTGATCATTTAAAGTTATTTTGTATCAGCTGAGATCAAAGTTGGAAAATGTACGGATGTGTGTATGTTAGCTGAAATTTGACTTGTCGCCGACGTTTTCTAAAAAGCGGGGAAACCGATTTCAGAATTTCAAAAGCTATTTGCACATGAAACTCGATAAGAACTTGCGTTGATTAGCGTTTTGCAACGAACGACCGAGCCGTGTTATTACAATTAGCAGAACAAGTACTTACTTTAAACTGCTTTCTAAAACTTTTCTAAATTCTGATTATAATTCCTAAACTTGCTAATATGTATAGAATCGAGTTGGAGCACTAGGGCAGTTTCACCCATTATTATACAGCATATATACGTGCGGTGTCTTATGTGGATAGGGTTGTCAGTTCGAATCCCCGCTCTGGATAACCTGATATTATGCATTAGTGATATCAATTTTCACTTGAAAATTTAGACCTAAATTATGTTTGCAATTGAAAATAGCTGCAGTTTGGGAACTGTGGTGTGAAGTGGCAATTGAAATCTTTCACACTATTCTTCCCTGAATTGAATTAGATTAGCTGACTCATTGTCAGGTTGCGAGCCTAATTTTCTTTTGACTTACTTTATTTGCTTTTTCATTTTGTCTGAATTTTAAACAATATAACTTACCAAAAATAGTAACTTTAGCATTTTGTTTTCAATTAATATTTCATTCAAAAGGTACATGACACAGCAAAATATGATGCCAAGTTTAACATCTCAACAACCATCTCAACAAGGTGGATTGCCTCAACCTGGCCAACCAAATCAACCTCCTTATGGGATGCCTCCTTCTGCGTCTAGTGCGCCAATATCGCAGCATCAACAACAAAGCCACCCACAGCCATATTCTAGATTGACCACACCTTATAGGATGAGGTCGGCAGGAAGCGGACCGTATCCGCAACAACAATTTTACCCTCAGCAACCGCAGAGAGCGCCTTATCAGAGGTAAGCAAGCTACAAGGTTATGAATGTTTAAAGACTGCGCGGCCGCGCAAATTGCAAAAAAAAGTTTTTATAAAATCGTGAGTTTTCTGAAAATAGTTTGTACAAAAGTAGTGAATCTGCTAGAATCCATCAAGATGTCTATAGTGAAGGGAATTCTAGATGAAATGTGAATTACTTTAATTCTGGTGGAAATGGCGCTCATTAAACCATATAATTTAAAAGAAAAAAACTTCGTATATTCTTCTTATTTGCATGATAGCTCACTCATTTTACACGCAAAAAACTTGTAACAGCACTTTTCTGTTTGCTCTTTCAAATCGTGCTTAATATTTTTCCTAGAACACTATGTAACACCGATTTATTAAGATTTTTATTGACATTATTTTGTTCATTACATGATTTTCGCTAAAATGTAACTTGAAAAGTATTAGTTTTTTTGAAAAACTATTAAAGACTTTTTTTTCTTATAATTAGTTCTTCTATCGATTTCCGACGTTATTTTGAAAAAATGTAATTACACAATTTAGAAGGGGTGTCATCCCCCCGGTGAGTGATGGCGCAACCCGAATTGTTTTCACTTTTGAAATTGAGGGTAAGATGAACCTAATTCCAAAATTTCATTCAATTCGGAGCTCAGTAAAAAAAATTCAGACCTAAAACGCTCCGTTTACTGCACTTTTAAAAAGTTCCAAATTTTCAAAATATTTCAAAATAAGAAAGACATTTTTTTCCAAAAGCAATTTCTCCAATAAAGCCAAGATCATTAAAAAAAAATCTTTTTTTTTAAAAAAAAATTGAACTTTTGGTACGAGAAGTTTCAGCAATTTGTCTTAAGGCACGATGCCATACACCACTAGTTTTATTTTGGAAACCATAGTGGGTAGAAACCAATTAGCAATAGGCAACTAAGCATATGTATTGTTTTTGTCAATCCTTTGAGAGTTGATATTTGTGCATGGTATTATTTCAAGGATAAAAATGTTTGAGTAGATGTGTATGAAAGCTTGTACAACAAAAATTCTTTAAATCAATTAAAATATTGGCAAATGTGGTTTGGTTATGACCATTAGGTTCAAATTTTAGAGCATCTCACATTGCTTGCACTTGCACATACATGCCTAGATATATGTAAGACGTAGTTATATGAAGAATATATTTGATGTTGTAGAACTGTTTTTAAAGAAACATATTTTATTTTAAAAATAATAGAAAGCAATTTTGTTCAAAAATTAATCTCAAAAATATACGAGGGGCATGTAAAAAATAAGGTTCCCAACGCTGTACACTTGCCGCGCGAGGTACTAGGGGAAATCCGGCAACACCATTTACATTGTTGATCCTTGCCACTCCATTCCAACTACCTGGAAGATCACTGCAAAGCTTAGTGCCAATCTAACAGCCATCCGCGATGGAGCGCGCAATCGCTGTCACCGCCAGGTGTGAAATCCGTTCAGTCATTAGATTTTTAAACGCGAAGAAGCTTACATACACCTATTGAAATTCATAGACAGTTGGAAGAAGTTTATGGCAAAACTTGCGGGAGTTCTCCGAAGGACGCACAGACGTTCACGACGAGCAAAGGAGCGGGGAGCCATCGAGTTTTGGGACCGAAAATGTGTCTTGCTTACCGAGTTAATGCTTAAAGGATCCACTATAAATTCGGACAAGTACTGCGAGACACTAACAAAACTCAAAAAAGTCATCCAAAATCGCCGGAGAAGAAGACCGAGCAAGGGCGTGGCGGCGGAGTTCTTCGAAGCGGGTTTTCAGAAGTGGAAAACTCCCCAGAAAAAATGCGTTGAAAGATCTGGCGACTATGTAGAAAAATAGTTTGAAATACAAGCTTTCCGATGGTATACACATTTATTGCAATAAGAAATGCCTCAACCCTGAAAAAAATGTGGGAACCTTATTTTTTACATGACCCTTGTATCTTTGGTATCAGAACTGGAACACATTGTTGCATTCAACATAAAGCTTATATACATTGCATTTCAGTTGGCATTATTTAAAATAAATATATGAAGTTACTTGATTATCATTTTTTCAGAAATTTTGATTATTATTTGCAAAGATGAAGTATTGAAAATTAAAATAATAAATATTGAACCAATACTAAATGTTTTCATTTTATTTCCATGGAATATGGTATTATTAATAGTATTTTTTTACGGTTTAATTAAAATACAATTGCTATATTACACAGATATGCGCCACGAATGGTTAATGGTGTACGGCACTCCGGTCCAATGGGAAGCAGACCGACAGCTATGGGCCCTGGAGGTGGAAGGCCATTGAAAAGGCCAAACGCACAATCGTCAATGCGACCTGCTGTAGCAGCAACGGCCACGACTGGCGGGCCGAAGTTAAGGAAAATGTCAGATTTACTTTTACCTTCAAATAATGAGAGTGATGATTGCAGTCTAATATCTGTACAAAATGCAGTAAGTACACCAATAATCTTTAACTTTTATTAAGCATTTATTCTGATAAAAATGTTGTATCAGAAAGCACTAGCACATAGTTATATGTAAACAATTTGGAAAATATTGAAACACGGACCTAGAGGTATTGCACGATAGTAATACTCGCATTTTGTAAAAGAGTAAAGATTTGTTGCTATAAATTGAGACATTTTGAAGAAAAAAATCAATCACAAAATTTCATTTTGTTTCAATTTTACTTTTTCCTCATCTATTCAAGTACCTTGTTTTTTTTAAAAAAAGAAAATGTTGTATTGTGCAAAATATAATTTTCACAGAATGTAACTTAATTAATATAATTCGTTATTTCAATATGAGTTTTCTTTGCTCACTCTGAAGATGTTTTGATGTTTTAAAAATCTGCAAACTTTGTTACTATTTGAATTATTCAACTTTGATTTGAACTCATATTGTAATTTTAATTCTTAATTAACTTCCCGAAGGAGAAGTTTATGTTTTCATAAAAAAATCCGATTCGCTAATTTAATGTTTTCTCGACGTTTCAAGCCATTCTGAATCGAATGAGACTAAATTTGGAAAAAGAATGTGTGTGTGTGCGCGAACAGATTTTTCACCGTAAAACGACGTTTTCTCAAAAACGGCTGGACCGATTTCAAAAATTTTAAATCCATTCGATGTATCTCGATGAGGATTATTGCTTGTCAGTTTTGCGCTATGATCGGCCAAACCGTTTCTTTGTAAATCGCAGAAAAGTGAAAAAAGTTTCGTCCACGTTTTAGCCTGCAATTCTGAATCGATTTTAAAAATTCAAAAACCGTTCGATAGGTACGGGCCGTTTTCTTGTAATAAAGTGTTGAAACAATTTTTTTCGAAGATTTTTATTATTATTTTTTTGACGGTATATAGATACCATAGTCTTACAGATCATACTAAAATATTACGGCCCTACGACAACTTTTACCTTTAAAAATTTGTCAAAGTTTGCAAAAATTAGTATCGTTTTTTGGCATTTGTCAAAATTAGACCTTTCATCGACGTTTGCTCAAAAACGCCTGAACCAATTTCAGAAATTTAAAAACAATTTGATGTATCTCGATGAGGATTATCGTTTGTCAGTTTTATAAGACGATCTGCCGACCCGTTTCTTTGTAATTTGAAATAAAGTGTCGTCCACATTTAAGCCCATACTACCGAATCCATTTTAAATCTAAAATTGTTCGAAAGATATTGGTTGGGAATGATACTGATTAGTTTTAGGTGAAAATTTACCGAGCCGTTTTCTTGTAATTAACTGTTGAAAAACAAAAACCGATTTTAATGGAGCTTTTTTGGCGATATATATCATGGTCATATCGAACTTACTGAAATTTTACGCTCTTACGACAATTAGTTTAATTTTAAAAATTTTGCAAAGTTTGAGAAAATGATTAGTTTTTTTGACGTTTGTTAAAATTAAAATTAGACGATTTACTTGCTATAACAATATAGTTACTTGGTCTAAGTGACAATACTAAACCATTAAAGAAACTGGTTCTATTATAAAAATCATTGATTTATGAAAATTTTCTTTTAGGAAATACCTCGAGTTAACGTGTTCGTTCGTTTTGAAATATGTGTAATAAATGCACTCGGAATACTTTTAATCACTCATAAATTAATTTACTTTTTATTGATTAAGTCGATTATTTACACATATCGGGAAGTTTATGTAACTTGCCTCAAAGCAAAATACCAATACCAACTAGTTTTGAAAGTTTTCAAAATGTCTTTTTAAATTTTATTTTAGGACCCAACCCTACCAGTGATACAAAACGTTCATGGTAATGCAAATACTTCTTCTACATTACCTAAAGAAGCAATTCGTTTATCAGACCAAATAACTCTGAGTGTTCGAAACAAAGAGCCTGTGGCAGCTTCAAACAATCAGCCACGAAGCAAAGAAGCTAAGGCAGTCGCCAGTATTTTAGCTCAGCGCGGGATTACTGTCACTACAGGTAATGAGAGCACAATAATATTTGATAGTTCAATGGAATTATAATTTAGAAAGAGCTATAGATATAGCTATAGAGACAAATAGATTTAAAAAGTACTTCCAATATGGAAACAAAAATTTTTTTGGGAATATGTTATGTATGTTACTAATTTAACATTTTTATATTAATTTAATAATATGATTCAATTTTATGTTGATTAAGATTTTCTGTAGTGATTACTCATATATTCCATTGTCAATATATATTATTTTTGCTAAGATCACTTTGAGACTGCACAAGTTCACTTGTCCTAAACAGTTTATTTCTATTTGATTTTATTGAAAGCCTTCTGTCTATCTACAAGATAGATGCAAGTTTTTTTGTTGACATAGGTTTTCAATTAAATACTGTTTTTTTTATTTTTTATAAGAGAATTTTGATAGTCTGGTTTTGATCATACAATTTCTGTGTTTTATATGTTTCGTTTTCTTCTTTCTTATGTCTATACTGTTTTCTCGACTCGACTCTTTTGTATACAGCAATTATCTAGAGTCCATTTTTCTTTTTTTTCTACATATTCTCATCGACTGTGAGAGTTTAAGTTGGCATCTGAAAAAGTCTTAATGTTTTTCACACTGCTTCTCAAAATAGTTTTGACTTTTCAGTCGTACGACCGTACATTTTTTAAGCATCTTTTCAGAATTACTTGCGTCCTACAAATTATCAATTAGTCTTACAAAAACTCAAATATTTATTTTAAAAAAAGTATTATAGCGACATCTCTTACTCTGATATTCTGCTTCAGGTGCAAATGGCAGAAAAAATGGCTCTTCCACAGAGTCTCAAGAATCGAGACAGGAAGTTAGTCTCAATTTAAACAATGCGGTATCTCTGATTCCAACAAACAAAAGCGGTAATAAATCAATTGTGGCTACTGTTGATTTAACCGATGATAAGCCTCAACCAAAAGAAGTTTTTGCAGCTGGCAGCAAATTATTGAATTGTCAACTTTGTAATAAACAATTTTTGAAACAAGCTGCTCTCAACCTACACGTCGTCAAGAATCACCCTTCAGTGAAACTGCCATATAGATGTGGAGAATGTACTGCAAAATATCCCACATTGGACGGCTTGACGGCCCATCAAAGAGCCTATCACGTGCCATCGGCGGAGCTTGGTTTACCTGTTGTAGATTTATCTAGACAGAGTACTTTAACAGCATTAGCAAATTTGGGCATTTCTAACTATGTTCCTCTGTCCAGTTTGGACCATCAAGCTGGTTCTTATTATGGAATTCCTATTGTCTCAGTACAAGTTGCGCAAAACTCAGCTTCTTCAAAATTACATGCTTTGGGCGCATCTGATATACTCAGTTTAGGACCTCTTAAACAATTACCTCGATATCAACAGAATTAAATTGTTGGAATTTTAGAAGACTGTTATTATTTTTATTATTCTTTAAATGTAACTTACTATGAAATTGTGATATAGTATGTAAGTATATTTTATTACTATTTACGAAAAATTAAAATATGAATAATTTGAATTAAGATGTTTTTGTAATTAAACTTAAACTAAATAAAAACATATTTATATGAAAATAAAACAAACAATGTTTCATTAAATTTCTTATTGACATTAAATTTTGACAGTTTTTTTTCAAGTTAAATTTTTGTTATTGTCAGTCATTCATACAGCCCATAATATTTATAAATATAAATAATAAACAAAATTTAAATTTAGTATTTCAGCCAAAAATTAATTTTAAATTCTAGTTAAATTTTTAAAAGTATGCGCTTTGCTGAATATACACTTGGTAAAATAAACTGCAAGTAATAATTGTCAAAATGACAAGGAAAATTAATCCACCAATTCAAATATAATCGATGTCCTGGTCCGAGATTATGTAATAAATATGTTTTGGATTAGGAATCGTTATTATGAACGTATCAGATTTTATCGCTGGTTATGTGGGCGGCGCTCTGGCAATAACAGTTGTCACACCGATAGACACCGTCAAATCCTGGGTTCAACATCGAGATTTACCTAGTTTACAAGTCATCAAAGCTCTGTTGCAAAATGAAGGGATTTTAGGTTTTTATAGAGGATACACTTTTCCAGTACTGACAATTGGAATCAATAACGCAGTTGTGTTTGGTGTTTATCATTCAATGTTAGATATTTTCAAACACGAAAACTTTCCATTCAAATTCAAAGAATTTCAACAGAGATGCGCTGCATCCGCCCTTGGTGCATTTGGCCAGGTCGATAATAAAATTCATATGTACTATTAATATATATTATTTCAATATTTAAACTTAAAGGATTCAATGCTCTTATTATTTTTTATGTTTCAGGTGTTATTCGCCGCTCCCGTGGAATGTGTTAAGATACGACAGCAAGTTAGTAGAGTTAAAACTACCACATTTGGTATGTTACGTGAAATAGTAACACAAGAAGGAGTACTAGGTAAAATTATATTATTTTAATTATAAATATATATTCCTTTTAAAATCACTTACTATTTACTATAAAATAACACTCACAATAGTTGTTTCCTAAGCTTTATATCGTGGAGCGAAACCAATGTTTTTAAATGATATACCTGGAAGCATGATATATTTTTTGATATATGAATCCACGTCTGATTATTTGAGAGATCACTATAATATTTTACTATGCAATGAACCATTGTATTCATGCTTACTTGGCGGAACCGCAGGAACAATAGCATATTTTCCATTGGCTCCCTTGGATCACGTACAAACGAAGATGATGTCGGACAAAAAACAAAAGTGTGTTATTTTTACGTTTATAGTCTTATTGAAAAATTTTACGTTCTCTGGTAGTTGTGTAAAATAATTGAAATTTTTTGAATGAAAATATTAGGATTGAATGCATTTACTGATCAGTTTGCATAACAGAACGATTGGTCCTAGTTTCATATTAACGTTTATGATGCTGGACAAGAAGCAAAAGTGTATTACATTCACGTTTATAGTTTTATATAAATTTTCAAGCTCTCTTTTTAGTTCTTAGTCAGATCTGAGCATTCATTCAACCCAATTTTTATGGAACATGCAATTGAAAAATTCAAAAAATGTCAGGATTAAATGCATTTACTAATAACCTGGATAGGCCTTATTTTATATAAAAACGAATATTGTTACAGATACACTGGTGTGTTGCAGTGTCTGAGGTCGATAATAAAAACAAATGGTTATTTGGGATTGTATCAAGGAGCCGGCTTATATACAATACGTACGTTTCCTATGTATGGTTTTGTGTTTCTCGGATATGAACAAGCAAAATTATTTATAAGAACTTACTTGCCCTTTTTGGATGATTAACTTATTTTTATAAATTTATGTTATTTGTGATTTATATATCGGCAACAAACAATGTAATCCTTATGATATTCCTATATGCAACGTTACAAATAAATATCATGTCATACATTGTTTTCATGAATAAATATATCGGCGAAACAAAAAATCGGTGACACCGATTCTTTAAGAATCGAATTTTCTTCGGACATCAAAAGTCGAATTTGACCACTGGAGCTAATTTTTTTTTTGTAAAATTAAAGTTATTTTTCATACATTAATAAAAAATATTATTTATCAGGAATCGCCATGAGAAATTGTAAAAATAAAAGTAAAATTTGACTAAACGAAGTAAACCAAATATTATATTAAACTAAACGACCTAATCAAAATAATTTACACGCATTCAAAATTAACGTCATTTTTAAAACGTTCATTTATGTTATTATTTTTGTATTACTGTTTTAATTTAATTTTTATTTTAACTTTTTTCATTTTATATTCAATGCATTGCATTTTTTGTTTTTTTTTGTATTTTTTTTTGCTCATATCAATTTTGTAAATAAGACATTAAAGTCTTGATTAACAAAAATAAATTGTAAAAAAAAAAAAAATTTCAAAACTTTTCATTTCGAAATAATCGAATGAATGAAAAGTTATCTAAATTGCTAAATCTCAGTTTTTGTTGGATAAGTCGATTATACTCATCATGCAAGTTCTCTCAAAGCAAAATGCCACTTACAACTAGTTTAATTAGTCTCAGAAGTACGTATACTTCTGTATATTCTCATATCCACAAATCAAAAATAATTGGACCAAATTATCGCATTATTTTGACTGTTACTTTGTTAGGAAATTGTGGAAACATTAATTTTTAAATAGATATTTTAGATTGAATATATTTTTTTATAAAATAAATATTAGAATTACTATAGATTAAAAAATGTTATTGTTTAAAAATGAAATACGTTATTACAAATACAACAGTATGTATGATATGTTTGCATACTCTATTATTTGTCTCAATCGTACATCTCTAACAGTACAGCGTTTTTTAAAAGTTTTTTTTGGACTTTACAATTTTATTTTATTAGATTGTAATTATATAGCACCATAATGTTATAAAGGATACGCTGATATTTTTACCTTTTTGTACAAAACCTTAAAAGCTTATTTATTGAAAACAAAAGAAATTGTTTTTTTTTGTACAAATGACATTGTTAATATTTTTGTATCACCGCATGTAATATTCGATACTATTTAACGAGTTAAGTAGATGAAATGAGGAATGTTCAGTTTATCAGATTTCGTCGCTGGTTCAGTGGGTGGAGCTGCCGGGCTGGTTGTCGCCCAGCCATTCGATACGGTTAAATCTAGACTGCAATCTGGTGATTTGCCGTTGGGTCGAACTATTATTGATCTATATTCTCGAGAGGGCTTTTACGGATTTTATCGCGGATTTTTCTTTCCTTTGTTAACCACAGGTTTAAACAATTCTGTATTCTTTGGAGTTTATGGATCTTGCATGGATTGGCTAGAAAGAGGAAAGGATTTAAGAAAAAGAGAACAGGAACGGTACTGGAATTGGAGTATAGCTTCAGCGATCGCTTCATTCTTTCAGGTATTCGTATTTGAATAGCAAATCGCTTAATGGTTTTAAAAGTAAGTTATGGAGACGATTTTGCAAAAGAAAGTCAGAAGTAAAAAAAATGCTAAATATTTAAATATTGTTACTCAATTTTATTAACTTCTCGTAGGGCAAGTTATAGTAATCGCAAAAAAATCGAAAATGAAAATTTCTATATATCTTTACGTTTCAAAGGTTTCTGAACATTTTGGTATACCTCAGGAAAAAAGAATGTATGTCACACGTATCAACCGATTTAAATAATTCATAATGGCTGGACCTGCCTTCCCAAAAATTTAATCAGTTTTTCCTTTTGTCAATACAAGTAAAATGTTTTCTGATTTATTAAAATCGGACGCTCAGTTCTCTTAAAAACTTAGTTACCGTTTTTGGCACTTTTTGCCCTGTATCTGTAAAAAACTAATCAGCACGTCTTCTTATTAATATGAATCGAATGTTTTTTGAATTATTCAAATCAGTTGATCGGTGTTCCAGAAATCGTCGACGAAAATTTGTATCCGCACACACACACAACACACACACACGTACATCCATTTTTACTCTATTTGTGTAGAATTTTCGGATAATTTTTTTTAGCTGATATCATATCACCTGATGTGTATACTTATGTATTTACCGGTAACAGTCAAATGTTATAATATTTAATAATTATTATAAATATTATATTATATAACAATTTTATTTAATTTTCTAACAAATGATTTTCCTAAATTTTGTATCCGTAGTTTCTCGTGCTCAATTAGTCAAATTGTTACATTAGTTTAATTGTTAAATATACATATTTGAGATTGCAATTTACAAAGATAGATAGTATAGCTAATATTTTAACAGAAAATATTGTACCACTTTCCTTTATTTTTTTCATGAATTCATTATATAAATTGTTTATTATTGATTATTTTTTTATAATATTATTGATAAAGTACTTAATTTAAATCGTCACAAATATTTTGGTAGAAATTTAAAACATTAAAAATATAAACAGGTTTTGGTAGCATGTCCAGTTGATCTAGTAAAAATTCGACAACAAACGGATGCAGATAGCCAATTGAGAACTGTGCAGGTTCTGAGAGAAATTGTGGCAAAAGATGGTCCTTTAGGTATATTAAATTTATTTTCACAGTATGGTACATTTTCAAACAAAATGTTTCATGAATGATAAGATTACACAGGCCAACAATTTTTTTTCGTTTGGTGCATCAAATGTTAGACTCTTATAGTATTTTTTGCGCTGATTTCAAATCTGCAATCCATTTTTTTTGTATCAGCTCTAGTTTGGAACTTGGAAAGAAGTTGCCGAAACCAGGTCCATTTGAGGTCGTCTCGGAAAAGAACTTTTCACAGTGTCAACTAATGTCCCAACTAAATGCCGAATGAGTCTTGAAAGTTTGTATGTACGAGTAGGCATATCTCATTAAAGTAACATTCTGAATTGTATTACTATTTTGTACTTTCGT